CAGTATAGTCACGAGTATGGGGTTTTTTTTACTTTATGTGTGTAAAGGAAGCCACCTGAGTTCAGATTGCAGTGAAGGAACAGATGTGGAAATCCCGTTAGAAGATTAGATATGAAGCCACTCAATTGAGACTGTCTTTGAGAAACAAAAGGTTAACTCAAACACAAAATTGTGGAAGTAATTCCAAAACCCTAGCATTAAGAAACCACAGAAGTAAGAAATTGTCTGAGGAACAGAACATGTTGACAAGATAGAACATTTAAAACATAAACCAAAGAGATAACAACATCAGCAAATCTTAGGACGAGCCAAAAGTCAACCTGACCCTACCACACTTGCCAACTATCCAAATTAGGGAAAGATCTGAGGAAAGTTCGAAAGTTTACACTGAGGAAGACCTGCGAACGACCACTGCCCATGATGAAGGCTACAGGAACTCCCACCTCTAAACCTCCCCAAATTGAAGACTCCGCCTGTATATGAATATTACAAGTAGATGTTGCAATTTAATGAATATGCATGCTTGTGATGTAATTTTATACTCAAAACTGTATGAAAAGAACTATGCTGATTGTACCAGACAGAGTTCTTTGTCCAGGGCAACTTGGGAACTCTCCAACGTGTTGCATTGAAATACCTCCTGCTTTAAGGAAACAAATCTTTATCTCTAAAGCAGTCTCTCTGTGCTTTTTTTGGAGCAAAATTTGGCTTCAGATATATGAACTGTTTTTTGTGAGAGTAAATTAACATAATCGGTTGGGTTTTTTTACTGAAATATTTGTAAAGCTGTCATCTTAGCTGGAGTTGTACTTCTTTTCCAGCCACATTTCTCTTTTCATATTTCTACAAGGTTACCTTTTGTGATTTTGGTTTTGTTTTTTTCTCTCAAATGACAGCCCTCTGGGGCATGCTAGAATCTTTTATTATTTTTGTAAAACTTGAGCAATGCTCTCAAAAATGTTTTAGGCAGTCAGTTGGTGTGGCAGTTATCTTTATGACCCGTGCTGGTTTAAAAGTAAATTGGCAGGAGAAATGAAGCAACTCAAGAGAGATTACAAGTCAGAGTTTCAATTTACTA